CCAAGCTGTCTAGTCAGGATGATCAAATACTCTAAGGCTCTTCTTCCTATCTGTTACTCCATATGGAAAGAGCAAGGGTCTGTTCCACATATTGACTGTGAGTGATGAGAATGTGATTTATAGAAGAAAGGGGGTGCTCTATATAAAGGGTTGCTCATAAGGCAGAATGAGGTATACAATTATCTGAAGGAATCCTTCAAGGTTTCACAGTCTAGGTTTTTACCCTCCTTATTCTGAAGCTCTTGCCTCCCTTTCTGGCAGCTTAGGAGCAGGAAAAACAGAGTGTGGGAGTGACACTACTAGAACCTCTTCTATGTAATTTTGGCTTAGCACGAATCCCCATGGACACTACAGATTTAGAAGTGAGACTTCCAATGAGGGTATAAGCCATACAGCATTATATGGGCTAATCAAATCCTTATAATACTACAAAACGCCCCCATTAGTGAAAGACTCAAGATTCCACAACCCTAACCACTAAATGTAATACAAGTGGCGTTGCACAACACAAGTTTACAAAACAGGCTTCTATGAATGACAAAAAGTCCATCATATGCCTGGAAAAGTAGGGTGGCATTGAGGAAAGCCATGCTTGGAGAGATATATTAGACCAAAATCCATTGAACCTACCTATAAACAGGTAGTGTCCTACCATGATTTGAAAACTTGCATTACTTGAGTTACAGAAGGGAATTACAGACTTTTTTTGATCAGAAAAAATCTAAGAGTCCCATTACTTTTGGATTTAACTGGCTCCAAAGTTTCCAATATTTATTACTTATGATGTTTGTTGTTTTACATTAATGATTCATAGTGGGGGTTGGAGTATAGTGCCCCTTAGAAGAACATTAGGTGGTACCTGGAAACATTTTTGGTTGCCACAATTAGGGTACAGTACTATTGGAATCTATTTGGTAGAGGCCAAGGTCATTGCTAAATATCCAATGCAGGTGCAAGATAGCTCCCCACAGCAAAAAATTCACCCACTTAAAATGACATCACTGCCAAAGCATAGAGATGGTACTCATCATTTTTTCCCTTAATCTCTGAAATAGCTGTTCCACCTTTCCAAACATTTCTTTTTCTTTTATGCAATGTAAACTATTAATTCTATTGATGGAGGATATTCCATGTTACCACTCATGGATGAAAAATAAAATGTATATAAGCCCTTAATAAGAATTAAAGAAACTTTTAATTAAAGTTTTTTTAAATTAAAGAAACTTTTTAATTTCAGATACTGATCAATGGGAAGAAATTATCCAGGTTCCTGGAGTACCAGGGATACTTTGTTGTTAAGAGGCTAAAATGAAACTAAAGGGCTATGATATAAAGTGAAAAACTCTACAGCTCTTGCTGATGTAACATTTACTCTGTGTGAGACAGAAAAGGGTTCTCATTATGAGAGGGCAGGGGAGGGGAATCAAATACCTTTCATTTTAAATTCACATAATTTCTTAATTCTCAGTATTTCAGATAGATTATTCCAATATATATAAATTATTCCTCTGAGAGTAAATCTTTTAAGAGTTGCAAAATCAGCCACTTTGGATAAACTATGTCACTCACTTTCTTCTTTTAAAGAAAAAAAATTAAAAGTACTGATTAACAAGTAAACAATTCTTCAACAAGTTACCTTTTAACACTTAAAAATGAAAAGAGGTAAATCAAGGAAATTTCAAGTGCTCTTACAGTTCCCAATATCCACATGACCTTTGCTACAAGCACCCCTTTAACCCAGTCCTTCACACAAACTCTATGTTCACTGAGGACAGTTTTGTATGAAGTCTGATTGCGGGGGTAGGGGTATATTTCTCTGGTAGAGCACTTGCCTGGCATGAAAGCAGTCCTGGTTTTGATCCCATGCCTTTCCCCCACCACATACAAATGTAAGATCGCATTTGCAAATGTAGAATTGAGTTTATGTTTCTATTTCCTCAAGCAATGCTCTGGCAGCATTTATTCCATATTGAAAAAGTTTGTGAGCCCTAGATGATGGCGGTTTGCTAAAACTAAATGGCTCACCAGTAATATCACAGAACACAGAATGGACACAAACAACCTTTAAGCCATGTACATTCTTGCTCCCAGCAGCGGGAAGCCTATGGTCTGTTAATGTCAAGCTTCAGAAGGCCAACTATACTACTGAGAAACAGTCACAGGAACTCAGAGCTCTGAATAGTGTCACCTGGGGAAAGCCTACCCTTATGACACCTGTGGCCTCCAAATCAAAAATAATTTCCCTATCCCTATTCTTTTCTTTTTTAAGAGAGGCACGAGAGGGGGGAGGGAGGGAGGGAGCACTGCTTACAAGTCCCTGCGCAGCGGCTTTTTCCTTCGGATTCTCCTATATATATTATAATTTAATTGCAGGAATTTTCCAAGCATGCACCAAGTCCTGGGTTTGATCCCCCAGAATCTTTTTTTTTTAAAGAAAGAGGGAGAGTGAGTGAGAGAGAGAGAGAAAGAGAGAGAGAGAATTTTTTTAATATTTATTTTCCAGTTCTCAGCAGACACAACATCTTTTGTTTTTGTATGTGGTGCT